AAAGCTTTCCAGTATTACTAGCGCGGAAGATCATGCAAGGGATGGGACATAATGGACGCTTGAGGGCCAATAGAAGCCAAAGTTGTTGGGGACTTACGATGTTGATTTGGTGCACAGCATTAGAACCCCTCATCGACCAATGAAACATGCTACAGCGAATTAAAAAGGTACGGTTATCCCTGCTAGGTCTTACTGTACCGTGAGATAGTACCCGCTTGCTCTTAATGCAACCCCTGTACATAGTAAAGGACCTTATGTGTACAACGAATTCCACCAGTGATATGGCTTTTCAGCGCAAATGCAAGAGATCATGGACTAATTGCTTTTTGAGCGACTAGCATATTTAAACAACAAAAGACGGCGTAAAGGGCCAGGGAAGTGGCCTGTCTTAAGATGAGATGAATTCTGCGATTGTCAACGTGCTCATAGCATGCCATCTCTGAATAAAAAGGGGTGCAATGGCAGGCTTGACTCACGATGTGAACATAGCAACCAGTAGATTTACAGGAAATCGTTTGTTGAAACAGCACGCGTCTTTTTGTTCTCATTCTAGGGCATATCCTACAACATCTTAGTTCTTCACAGAGTGAGCTGGTAATATCAAAGACCATTAATCTCAGCCAGTGACGTTGCTTCTGAAAGTCAGTTGCGCCTCCCATTTTTTCAATAAGACCCAAAGCTCACATGCCTACCTAAGTAGTAGTTTAGTCATCTTGTTATTTGAAGGGTTACTCTACAGACCTTCAAAAATTTAACAAGGATAGCTGCACGCCTTGCTTCCGCAGCAATGCACTTGGGCGTCTTATACCTAGATACGCTAGGTTCTTGAGTTCAGCATTAACGCTAACCACGCTCCTTTGCAAGAGGCCTGTTCTCGAGCTCTCCTGCCCAATGAAGCACAGGTAGAGAGAAAAGAATTGCTGGACTTGTAACTCACCGCCAATGACACGGAGGCGGACTCTCTTGGTGAGCCTTTCATCTGCGGGAATGGACGACGACAGTGAAACTACTGCTGCGAGAACGGGAGGGCAGAGAAGATGAGAAGCATACACTTCAGTGCATCCGCTGGAAGAGTGCCTCTCCTAGGCTCATTGGGTTTGTGACTTCAACTATGTACTGCGACTTGTTGCATTTTAATTGCTGCCGCCTCTGCCGCATCTATATACTTTTGCTGCTGAAAGTCAGCACGATGTCCTTTGGCGGTCACCGGAAGCATGTTTTCACGGAAAGGCTGGCAGCTACCTAGATAACGTGACCAAGAACCTGGGGCCGTTGCTCCCGGGTCCTGCATACTGTTCACTCTTTGGTCATGTGGCCGATCGAAGCTAGTCACAGTACTTTGAAGAAGCCGGCATGGAGAAAGCCTCGTGTCTAATTTCCCAGCTCCCTCGGCTTCAAAGCATTGCAAATTCCCTGCAAGGCTGGCGCCTATGTTACGGTTCTTGGTATGTCTTGAATGCGCGCTGGCACATCGCCGGTATGTGTGCTTGGCGACAGCATCTCGCTCGCGCATTTCCCCAAAGAATCTCCGTATACGGCCTTTCACTTCCCTCCGACCTTTCCGGAATGCAATCTGACAAGGTAGTCTGACATTGACATAGTTCATGATGTTTCGGCCCTTTGGTGATCTGGCGAGAGAGGCACGGCACATCAGTTCACCTGTCGACTAATCAACGCTCACACATTGGAGATCTCAATTGGATCGCCTAGTCCGCAACAAGAAAGCCATGCGTATTTGAGACCAACCTTAACCAACGTGCACGCACCCAGACCCGGCGGGACGGACGCACCGACGGCGGTCGGCAGTTCGCGGTGTCGTCCGATGCAAATTTCCTAGTCTTTCGACTAACATTCGCAAATTTGAAGTACTAGCGATCAGTTGTGTGCGACCGCTGCTTATGCAGGAGGAAGGCATGCGCAGCGACGCCGACGGAGACAAGTCGTACAAAAACGGCTGATCCGCGTCTGAGTTGAGTGAAACAACGAAAGCGAAAGTCAATAAATTGAGGGTTGCCAGTTTAAACTCGCCTCCCCGTGGAATGGATAGTTTAGAGCCTATTTCTATCCGTGGAAACCCACCATTCAGACCAAAACCACCCGTGCGAAGCTCGTGTCTGGCATTTGACATATTGTGACGGATGTTGCGGAGCCTCCCGTCGGAGTAGACCATAGCAGCGAAAGAATCATACCAAGAATGGTTTCCACACCGAGAGCGTTGACGCTAATAGTTACTGCAGCTGCTGAACCTAGGTATAGAACTTGGCCTACTCGATAAATTACAGAAAAAATATTTTTGATGATAAGCTACTTCGCATCATTCATGAAATTTGGATACCATATGGAGGATTAGCAACCCGCCTGGAAAATGATGATCAATTAAGTCTCACATGATTCCTGCTCGGTTGCTATATCTTAAAGTAGTGACTTACTGGATATGGGCTGAAAATAGCCTCATACTAGGGAGGTGTGTCACAAGAGTTTATATAGAAGCCCAACTTAAGGGAAAGCATAATGCAGCATGCCCTGGAAAGCTTTCAACTTATACTTAGAACAGATGTCACCAAACTAACACGTCACGGATAGTACATGTGGTTTGAGATCTATAGCAAATAGCCAAGCAGCTGCTGCGTTGGGTCATCCGGGGACACACAGACCTGATACAGACCCAATACGTATAATCGGGAGTGCCAATGTGAGTTAACAGCATTCGCATCCCGGCGTACGGCTGAAAACTTAGATTTTCAACGCCGACACAGGGGGCTATGAGTGCGGCACAGAAGGAGATGTTGAAGAAAAAAAGTCGATCTGTGCACTCAAACCTGGGCAATACCATGAGGCAACCTGTGGGGTAGCCTCTCTCGGATGGGCTGCCTCATCATGGTATCTGGCCTCCGCAAGGCTGGAACTGCTGATCCGTCACTAACACAATACAAAGGATTCGTAGAATATCTCATCGAAAGCCAGTCCAGGTCTCTAGACCAGTTTGTGGCAGGAATTTAAATCGAGAATCTCATTCAATCAACAGACAGTCGTCACTACGCCTTGGTAGAAAGATTCCAGTATCATCTCACCATGGCCCTATCACCCCCTAATGCCAAACCACTGGAGAAAATCTTCCTCTTCGGCGACCAAGCTTACAGCACCCCCAAACGCGATCTCAAGCGCTTGCTAGACGATGAAGCCTTCCAACAGACCTTCCCTGATCCCTCATCGCCCTTCTCCCTCTTCATTCATCGCTGCGGGAGTGCAATCCAGCGCGACCTGGCCCAGTTCGTCAACCCCATGAAGGTCAAACACCTCCGCCCTTCCGGCACCCTGGCCGACATGCTCTTGCAGTGGAATTACCGTAACATTGGCTACTCCCACCCGCACTACTCCGACCGAGACGATGCCCACCGCTGCTTAGCGCTGGATATGGCATTGCTTGTCGCATATCAAGTGCTGCTATTCATTCGACATGTCGAATCTTCTCCATCAGCGGAACACTACGGGAACGCTACTGTCATAGGCACTTGCACCGGGGCACTGGCTGCTGCGGCGGTGGGGTGCAGTGCCGACTTAGCGGAGCTGGTCCCGCTGGGCATAGAGGCTGTCCGGGTTGCCTTCCGGGTGGGTCTGGTCGTGGATCGGGCGGCACGGGATACCGCACCAGCGACAGGCACGAAGCAGCCTTGGAGCATGGCGGTGTCGGCAGCGGACGAGCGCACGTTTCAGGGGATGCGAGTCTTCCTGCAGCGGCTCGCGGGCAAAGTTGGGAACACTGCCAGCAGCTGGTTGCAAAAGGTTGACAATAGTAAACGCGAGGCAAGAAAAGGGTCATACTGGGTAAGCGCATGGGGGCCGAACTCGGTAACGGTGTCGGGGCCGCCGGAGGTGCTAGCGGAGCTGGCGGACTCGGACGGGCTAGCGGTTCCCGGCGTGAGGATATTGCCGATACCGATATTTGGGCCGTTTCATAGCTCATTGCTCCACACGAAGGAGGATGTTGCTAGGTTGCTGGCGTTCCTGGACCCAGCAGTGGCGAGGACGCCTGCATGTCTGACGGTAATCTCGGCCTCAACAGGAGAGGCCCCAGAAGAGGCCGTTGACTTCGTCTCACTAATGTGCACCGCTGTTAATGACATGCTTCTACGTCCGCTTCGCTGGGACCTCGTGTTACAGCGGTTTTGTGAGCACGCCGAGACGAGTGAGAGTGGCACTGGGTTGCCGGAGGTTATCTCGATCGCGTCGTCCGCGGGACAGTCTCTCAACACAGCCTTGAGCCAGGTACAGAAGGGAACACGCAAACCGCGCAAGGTAAAAGATCACTGCCTGGAGAGTACGACAATTCACCGTGTCGTAACAGAGGCAGACTTGATGGTGGGAGACGGGCTATACCTGGTAACGGAGGCAGATCTGGCGAGACCGGATCTGAGGGAGGCAGTTCAGGGGCATTTGGTAGAGGGAAAGCGGCTATGTACGCCGGTGAGTTTTCATTAATGGTTCTGAGTTGATCAAAGACGGCGCTGACGTAGACGAATGGTAGTCCGTCTTCGCTGACATTGCCATGACGCTTGGAAATTACCTTGTTGAGACACTGAAGAACCACGAAAGGAAACATACGCTCGGAGCTCATAAGCAGCCCGGCCAAACGCATGAATATCTCGTCACTATTGCTGACTTGAGTGTCAGCAAGGCGTTAGTTGCTGGCAACAACGGTCCGGGGTCGCAGCTGCTACAATGCCATGCATACGCTGACTGGACTGTTCGTACTGCTCGGTGCAAGTTCGCCGTTGTGAGCGTGAGTGTTCCTGCCTAAGCTCCCCACAGAGTCATGAAACATAGTCTGACAGAATTGATGACAGCGCTCTGGCAAGCCCCAACAGCACGCCGAATGCACCATTCGTATCACCGACGTCTCCATTCTATCCCTTTTCCAACAATACTCTTCCGGCGAATCTCATCGTATCAATGTGTCCTCTCTGCGTTCCCGGCCCGGCACCACTCACATCTCCGGCAGCATGGCGTATAGGGTGGTCTCCTCTCTAGCCGAGTTCCACCGCAATCACCGACTCGTTGAATCTCTGGTGCTCGACCAGCATACACATGAGATCGCCGCCCTCGTCCGTTTCCCCGGCGATCTTTCTGGTCATGGTGAATACACTGCGCACCCAGCGATTATCGATGCCTTTACGCAGCCAGCTGGGTTCTGTCTGAACCTTGACGACGCGATCGATCTAGAGCACACCGTTTACATCAACCACGGCTGGGAGGATATGCTCCTGTTCGAGGCAATCGACATGGGCCTTGAATACACAGTGTATGTGCGCATGCAACAAGTGGGCCGGACACGGAAGTGGACGGGTGACATCATTGTTCTTCGCGAGGACAACATCGTGGCGGCTTTCCTACAATATTCCGTGAACGCTTTCCCCCGGCGCGTGTTCAGCAATATGCTGAGCCAAGAAACCAAAATAGCTGAGCAGATGACCACAACGTCTTCAAGGGTGCTGCAAACAGCCGTGCCGTGTAGTCCGCCCCAGACGCCGAAGCCGCCGAAGACGCTCAGAATACAGACAAAGCCCGCGGATGGGGCGGGCCAGGGGATCTTTCCCCCAAGCCCGGTGTCACCAGATGATATGAGCAGGAAAGGGCCGTCTGTATCTCCACAACAAAACCAACAGTGGTTGTACGGTGGCGACTCGCCTGCGATGGCGACTCCTTGTATTGCGACACCACGTAGCTTCGACACGTCCCTTACCATCCCCGACGTTCAGACACAGGACAAATCATCCATCATCGCCATTCCCCCGTGCAAATCCGTTATCCTCCAAGGCTTCCCAAAGACCGCCCACACAATTCTCTTCCTTTTTCCTGACGGCTCCGGCAGCGCTACATCGTACGCTTCTCTCCCGCCTGTTGGTGTTGGCGTCTGCGTCGTCGGCCTAATGTGCCCGTTCATACGTGGCGACACGGCCACGATGGCGTGCGTGCCGCTCGACCGGCTCTTAGGCGAGGGCTACCTACCTGAAGTATTGAGGCGGCAGCCGCCGTCACCTCAGAAAGGGTATGTGCTCGGAGGCTGGTCTGCAGGCGGGTCGCTCGCGTTTCGGGCCGCACAAATGTTGGGCGAGAGAGGTTGCAGGGTCGCGAAGCTGGTGCTGATCGATGCGCCGCCGCCTCACAACGGGATGGATAGGCTGCCGAGACATTTTTATGAGTATTGTGAGCGCTTGGGTGCTTTTGGCGGCTGGGGTGAGGGTAAGGGCAACAGTAACTTGCCAGCGTGGTTGATACCGCACTTCGAAGGGACAATCGGAGTGCTCGAGAGATACTGCGCTACGCCATTGGTAGTGCCACTGGGACAAGAACTGAGAGTAGACGTGATCTGGGCAGGGGAGAGCCTAGTTGACCGGCCGGGGGCGCCGCCGCTATCACCACATCCGGATGATACAGAGGGAATGAAGTTCTTGACAGTGCAGAGGAAGGATTTTGGGCCGAACGAGTGGGTGAAGCTGTTGCCAGGGGCAGATATCATATGCCACAGAGTTGAGGGAGCGCATCACTTTTCGTTGATGGTAGGTCTGCGTCTGGGCCCATCTCAGAATTTCCTTTTCAGTTTTAAATCTTCGATCATTTGCTGATGGAATCCACTCAGAGAGAGCCATTTGTGTCGCGACTAGCACAGTTCGTGAGCGAAGGACTTCAACCTGTGCAGGGGACAGTTGCGCCCCGCAAATGGACGCAGCATGGCCAGTGATAGGTTTGTTTTGGCTTGATCGACTCAATGCGAGTTGTTCGGGCCTAGAGATCAGTTTTCTGGCCCGCAAGACGACCGCAACTTTATTCAGAGTGATGGCTACAATTTCTTCATACACATTGAATGTAAGCAGGATAAGTTACCTTCACCTCCTTCCCTGTGTATGCTTCTGCTGTCAACAAGGTCATCTGTCTGTAGATGATGACTTGTCCGTCGATCTCTTTATCACTGTCGCTTCCGTTTTAGTATGCATCAGGTGCACCTTCGGAAACCAACTTCCAGGCTTCTGATGATGTGAAGAGTCCTGATCGACTAAAGTTGCCGAATTTCAAACCATTACCACTTGCGTGTGATGGTGTGGTGCATTTTCTTTCCTACCCAAAGGGCTTTGCACTATTGGCAGGGCGAGGCTGGAAATATGTCATTTACCTCACCACACCGTTCCGGAACAAACTTTGCTTGTACATTCGGCGAAACCATCATTCTGAGTGAGGTATTATGAAAGAATCCCATTATTATCAGCAGATCCAAACAATGCTGTGTGAGCTTTGGAGGGATGACGTGAAATGAGCGCGCCACTAGTGCCTTCGAACTAACCTCCCTTGCTGTGGAATAGTACTAGTAAACATGCTCGTATGACGCCGTTCTTTTGGTAAACTGGTAAATTACTGTGAAGGCAGTTTAGCGAAATTGTAGGACGTGTCAAGCTAGCGACAGGACACTCTCACAACTCTGATTTCTGTACGCCAACCTGGGTCACGCAAGGTGATCTAGGTTGCGGAGTGAAATTCACACGTTGCTGATCAGCTCCTTGAGCTCAAGTACTCATAGAAAGTATACATTTAGGTGAAACCTGGTCGAATAGACTAATTTGGCCCGGACACAGCTCAGCCCCTTATCCGGCTGTGCTGTTAGGGTTACATGTTAACTTCACAGTAGCCCTGCACGGAGTCTTCCGTGGTAATGTTATCAGATAACTTTGACATAATTCATCTGAACTGCGAGAGGCGATTCCTTGACACGAACTTTGGGTGGCATGGCTTTGACAGCCTCGCAATTATCCGAGCGCGTCGGAATGTCTCATCCCAAGTCATCGACGTGTATCCCGCAAAGGGCTCATGAGTATTTTCCGAACTTTGCGTTAGCCACTTGCATAGATGGTGAGTTTCAGTGCGCCGATCTAATTAGTGTCTCATCTGAATGTTAAGTGTCCGCAAGCCCACCAATCTCGGCACCCGGGGCGGCTTTCATTAGCCCCATCAATGGATACAACGCCGCGACTACCCAGCTTTCTCAAGTTCACTTACAGCTGCCGCGGGATACAATTGTATTGGTTCGCTGATTATGGTGTTAACCATGGTTAAAAAGCATGCGTGCGAGGGTTGCACTAATAACTTTAAATCAACATGAACCAACCCCCGGCCAACACTAATAATGGGCCATGTTTCCGGAGACTGCAAATACATGTAACGCGAACCAGACCTAAGGTAACTGTCAACCTGAATTGAGAGGTGGTGACTTGCGGAGATTTGCGACAGACATTCCACATCAGGTTGCATTTTGCAAAAGTTGCAGTCGTGTTAGCGAGCTACCTCGCTTTCGCGTCGCTGAAGATTTCACTGTAGACTACAAAGCTGAAGTACTTCCTCTTATGGAGATTAATGCGTGCGAGACGGACCGCTTGAGGAGAAATCCTAACCATGGGTTTGTTCCAATACTCCCAGATTACTATGTTTGCTTCCTAGATAAGTAGCACAGGCGGTGTGCAATCTACATAATTATCGTCGCTTGACATGTTCACCAGCTGCAACATCATTTGCTGTCACCATTCAAACATCTTTCTTCACGACGTATCATACCTCATAAACCATGGCTCAGATCATCCGTCAATCGGCTGTCACATCATTGATCCAGCCGTTGAGCTCGGGAGCCTCACAGAAGAGTCAACGCACCCGCTCGTCGATGCTTGCCCAACTTCATGGCCAGCGAATACGTATACCAGACCTTGGAAAGATGATGGAGCATTGGACCAAAGAAATGAATCCACACGCCAACACGGTGGAGAGCAAAGTTACGAGTATCATAGAGAAGTAAGAAGATCCACGGAATGTCAGGAAAGAGCATCTCAAAGCCTGATTAACTCAACTAACAGTCACGCCATAAACGAATCCGTCCGAGCTCGCCTTACCAAAGCCAAACTGGCCGACCAGTTAGCGGGCTGGTATCCCTTCGCAACTTGTGATACTATGACAGCTCTTACATCCTTTCAGGTCTGGATGTTCATCATCGACGACCTTCTCGATCAATACTCCTTACCTCAAAGATTTGACTATGCGGCTTTGCAGATTCTACTTGCCGACTGTCGCGACTTCATTCAACAGAGTCTGGGACTCTCGCAGAAGTGTGATAATGATGGATACAAGTATCGTGATCACGATGCTGTCACGTCTTTCAAGGAGTATGCGGGCGCCGTCATGAAGACATTTGGCGACAACCATGCCTACCGCTCGCGAATCGCGCGAGAGGCTATCGCTACTCTTGACGGCTACCGTCATGAGGCTATGAATCGACATCAAGGTCGGGTACCATCTCTTGAGGAGTATTTAGGTTATCGGGCGGCATCATCCTGCATAATGCAGGTGGTTGTCAATTTCGAATTCGCCAACAACGTCCACATGCCAGAAGAGGTCATGAAAACGCCAGAAATGTGTCGACTGTATGAGTCTGCCGTGGCTATCTGCTTCATCTTAAACGACATTGTCAGCCTCCGAAAAGAGGTAAAAGAAGGATTTGTTGAGAACCTTGTAGTTCTTCTTGCTGATGGTGACGTGCAAAGAGGGGTTGATGGTGCCGCGGCTCGCATGCAGCTGGAGGTGTACGCCCTTGATGATGCTGCCGAAAAGGCTACTCGACTGTTCAAAGGCACACCTTATGAGAAAGACATCGAAGTTCTCGTCAACAACTGCAAAAACATGTGCAGAACCAGTTGGCTCTGGAGGTGTGTTATTCGTGATCTGATCTGAAGACTGCTGACAATCTGCGACAGTGTGCGGACTCCGAGGTACTGCCTTGCTGATATCACCCCGGATGCTGAAGGAGGTTGGGTCTTTGTAGTTGACGCAATGGCATGAGTACATGTTTCTACACAGTTGAACTGGGTAGCTTTATAAAGAACGTGCGATTGCTCCGCACTTGATTTCATGATATTGTCAAACGTGGTATTCATAATGAAGTCTCCATTCGGCAAACTAATGGCAGACACGCTCGTTACACGCTCGTTGAAGAACCTTGTGATATGACCAGAAACATCAAAATATTTCAGCTCATAGGAGATGCGGGTCATATCTCAACAACCGGGAATTATCCCTTGAAAGTGTGCTACAGGTTGAAGCAGTTTGAAGTTTATAATTTGGTATATTTAAGAAGGTGGCGAATGCTTGACCAAGCTACATATAAGCTTCCCAAGGCTGCCTGAGTTCCAAAGCTATGAGCATTCATCTATCTCTATACATCTCCAGTCACTAGGAAGAGAGATGTTGCACCAGGGTAGGCCCTGTGCATCTACGTGTAGGTCCGTCGGACGATGGTCTCGAAGCCTCTGGTGCTACTATTGAGGTTGGACGAGTCCAGAGTCGTAGTGACGGCCAACTTGATTTTGAAATAACCCTCATTCTTGATAACGGCGACATGTTCAAGTTCGGTACGCCGCGAGGCCTGCGGGAGAAGAATGGCACGTTTTGCGGCATGTGTGACAGCACGGGAGAGAGAAACATTCGGGCAGAGCATGATGAGACTGTGCGATTGACTGCGTCGGGCATTCCTTATGCCATCTAGACCAGTGATAACGGCAACTTTCTAGGCGAAGATCTAATCACTAGTTGTGGGTCATGCAGTATTGGATGCCACGGTCACAAAATGAGCGTGAGATTACATGTAAGCTGAAGCGAATGCAAGGATGAACAAAACCAACCCAGTAACTATGTGAATCGCAAAATCTCCAGCCCAAGCCCATAATAAAATTCCCGGCCGTATTCGTTCAACACGAAACTTAATATACAAACCCATTAGTTGAAGCCGCTGAAGTTAGGCCACCACGGCTTCGGCCAGACATCGCCAGGCTTGAAGTTGCAGGCCTTCCAGTGATCGACGCCAAGCCCCTCGGGTTTGGTCTTCTCCCCGGTGCAGCTCTTCTCCTTCTCCTCGCCGTTGATCTTGATGGTGGCGTCGGCGATGCCCATCCCGGCTCCCATAGAGATTACGCGGGACTCGATCGTCACCTGCCAGCCGAGCTCCGGCCCAGTGCCGTCGTACGACATGCCCATCTTTGCCTCGAAGCCCTTCCCGACACCCAGCGCATCGTAGGATCCCCAGTTGATCACGCGGTTGCACGCGCTGTCGAGGAGGAACGCGACGCGGTCGCCGTTCTCCGAGGTAATCCCGCCCTCAGGGTCGAAGGCGAGGTTGTGGCCCACGTAGCTGAGGAGCATCAGCTCGTCCTCGGCCGGGCGGTCCTCCGCGCACCGCGCCTGGGGATCGAAAGACGCTCGCTTTTGGACCTCTCTCGCCTCTCTGTGATAGGTCAGTTCTCTGTTTGGGCTGCGTAGGTGGCGGGTGGGCTTACGGCTCGGTCCGGGTACCTTGCGGTAGGCCGGAGACCATAGTGGCCAACAGAACAAGCTGGGAAAGGGCTTGAGTGGCGTGCATGTTGAATAAGTGGATAAGTTGTTCAGTTGTTGAAAGTTTGCTGGTGTAATGGTTGGGATTGATTTTCTTGTATGATGAGACGTGAACTGCTGATGAAGCACAAGACAAGAATGCGATTAACTGCGTTGCAGTATCCTACTTATAGTTTTCACCTTGGTCCTAGATTTCGGCCAGAAACATACCATCCAGCTCTTGTCTAGACTGCCATCTGCTCCTCTCGGACTTCCGCAAGCCAAGAATTGAGCTGACAATGCTGAGGTCGCATATCCCAATAAGAAGATCCTGGCATACATGATGTCGAGTTCCTATTCTTACACAAGGCAGCAAAAGCAATAATCCTATGATGGTTTAACTTGAGTTGCGAGAGCTCAAATTGATCGGCGGCGGCAACTTGGCAGTGGCTGATTGCCTCGGCATGATGCCGTCAGGATTAGACACTGCTTGACTGATGGGACTTTCGGCATCCAGAAAGCAACTTCATAGAAAGTTACGTCTGCATAGAAAGCGATTTGGCGTCTGCCTATTTTTTCTCCGACAGGGATGGAGGTGAGCGTCTAAATGCCGCCCGTGTATTGATCGGCGACCCGCAACGCATGGAAATGATGGGGGCGCAGTCCATGGGACTTTGGTGCAAGCTGAGAACTTTGGTGACCGCTACACCCAGCTTGAGCCCTGCGTTTAGGCTGTCGTTCCTACAGAAGCCTTGGCCGCTCCACTGATTAACCTGCCCGAATGTGTTCGACGCTCGAGTCAGCTGGTGCAGGTGTATGCCAAGAGAGGCTGACTCTGGCCGAACCAGAAATCATGGCGACATTGCACCTAGCGCCTGTGTATCATTGAAGTCTTGGAACCTGTATACAGCCTGTTGCCTAGATTGCACTGAAATAACCTCTTGCTCTTCTTGACTGCTTCTATTTTTCTCCCTGGCAGATGTGCGAATGACACCGTCATGTGATCCCTGCAAAAGTGACAAAACGACATGTTAAGTATCAGATCATGTCCCTAAATGAAAGGCATCCATCAAAGTGATCAAAATGGTTCGGACCCGGTGCGCATGTATCACGAATACCTGACCTTTCAGCGAGCAGCCCGTGGTTGTCTTGATCGATGCCTTGGGCCACTAGCTGCCGGTAAAACAATCAGAGGTGGGTCAGTTTGGAAGATGATGGCGCCGGGAAGATCTTTCAGGGCGCTCGCTATGCTGGCATTGAGCATGGGAGACAACACGGCGGATCGAGACCACGAGGCGCCTGATCCTGCCGCAGTGCTCAAATAATTTTGACTTCCTTGACGAGTGGCTCTTCAGTGGCGACTTGTTGCAGAAGCCATATACAGCTTTACCATCCGTATTAGCTGAGTTGGAACGGAATATGGCTTACATCGCCTCGGCTTGGTTTCATGCTGGTGTGGTCTGCACGTTATTTATTACTTTAAATACTTATATCAGAAGATGAGCGGCTGCCGTTACAGTTAGGTGATCTCACGTGTGTCTCTGACGGCATGATAGATCCTGCGTTACTCAGGCCCGAAGGTAAAGGTAACTATTGGTTGCAATCTTTCGCCCTCATCCAAAGCCTAATGGGCGACATGCCTCACAGCGACTGAACGATGTTCCCTACAGGCGCTACGCACCTGTCGTCGCTATTTGTGCGTTTGGGAGATGAGAAAGGAAATGGAGGTCTTATGAATGATGAGACTGATCGCTGGAGTATGAAGTTACTGCCCCTAGTCGGTATCTCGCAGAGACGGTTCGACCTGATGCAAGTAATTTCTACGCAGTGTTTCGGGGTAGGATGTGAATGCAGACAGGAAGCAGGGCGTACGTACGGATAGCCAAGGGCGGCGTTACTGGCGGGAAACTACCCTTTAGACGTTGACCTTGTGCAGCAACTTTGTGGTTGGCATAACTATGTAGTCCTCTAGACTTTCTAGGAACAAAATTGTATTACGGCCTAACAAGCAAGACCATCAAACAGTGAACCTGGAAAACTAGAATGCGCCCTGGCACCAAAGGGTTCTAACTGAACCTGAACTCCAGGTCATGGTCTCCGGAAATCTGATCCGTCGGGCTGATGATGATTTGCACAATCCGCTTCCCAACATCGTACTCGTCCAAGAGCTTCTGCGTTCCGCCAAAGAAAGGCGTGTTTTCAAGCTGAGACCATGCGGTTGCAGCGGCGCCCGTATCCGCAGAATTGAGAACCACTGTTTCGTCCTCCTCGCGCCCAAGAGTATCATACACCTTGCGAATCTGCTTAGATGTTTGCTTATTCACGATGCCTTTGCGCCGAATGGCCTCAAGGTCGGCCCTCCTGACGTTTGGCTGTATGTCCCACAACTCCATTTGAATGTCGCGCAATTTGTATCTCTCGCTCTCGTCTCGCTCTTCCCATCCATTGTATGCGGCATATACCGTGATGACTTTGTTGCTGGTATCAATCCCAATTATGTCAAAGGGATCATCGCCGTCATCATACGATTCGGTATGTACGTAGTATTTCCCGCTCGAGTAAGATAATGTGTAGCCCTTCTTCTCCTGAAGCAAGGTTAATAAGCAATAATCACACCGTCGTAACCGATCATCATCTGAAACTTACAAGATACTACAAAACTGATGTTAGCCGAGTGGTGAGCAGGTGCAGTAATAACAACATGGAAACTTACATCGCTCTTAGTTGGGGCCTGGGCTAAGGAAAAATGCCCAAAAATGAGCGTAGACAAAATCCACAAAAGCCACGTGAAATGCATATTGACAAGTATTCAGAGAATGCCAGCTACAGTCTCAAACAAGTGAGAAGGACAAAAAGTCTGGTGAAATATATAACTCTGATGCCCTTTACAAAAAGCATTAGCCACTGCAACCGAGGTGACCTATATATGTTTTTCACTTTTAAATTCACCAAATTCAACCTTCTCACTGTTCATCTCAGCCTGGGAAGAATTAGTGATTAACGTTCGCCAAGATACCTTCTGCATTTGATTCTTAGTTAGCACGGAAATGACCGTCAGTGTCCCTTGGAAGCGGAAGTGAGTCACTCGGGTGCACCGAGAACTTTGAAATGTGGCCTTGTAGGTCTCATAGAAAGGCTAAGTCCCAGACATCTTTCCATAGTTAACTAATAAGTTGTGATAAATGGGAAGTTGCAGGGACGTGGGTTGATTATCCCACTCCTGCGCCGTGCGGCGGAAAGTATCCGGACCTTGGCTTGGCATACGGACAATCCCGAATAGCCTGAGAGAATAGACACCGCGCCCCATTAATCTAGACTGAGTTTGAACAGCGCAAACCTAGCAGCGCCTCGGGGACTTCGGGTTCTTAGACATAGGCTTCCATCCATCTGAAGGAGGATATATACCCATAAACGCTCCAACACCCCCAGACCATTCCATCGCCGCAGCATATTGATGGAATATATCGTCCATACAGTCTCTACCAAATCAACACGTTCATCTCTTGCGTTGCAAGAAGACTACCAGGCACAACGCTCCATTTTTTCTTACCATCATTAACCATCTACTCATCTTCAAAATGATTAAATCCAACATCATATACGCCAGCATTTCCCTCTTTTCAATCTTTCTCCAGCAAACATCCGCCTGCAGACAGGCCATTGTAACGTACTCCACGGAGTACGAGTGTGACCTTGACCACTTCGACACTGCCATCGCGGAAGACTGCAAGAAATTGGCCGAAGGCATCGGCAAGCAGGGAAAGAAGTTTGCGGAACCTCCGGTAGTCGACTCGGTGGAGTGCCTGGAATGTGATCCGGACGGTGAATCAAGGAAATGCCGCTGTCTTCTGAGCGCATGGCGATTTCGCGATTGGGAGCCCGAGCCGGCCAAGTTTGATGATTTTCAGTACGAATACTGGAGGCCCATGGAGAATGGAAAGCTCGATGTCAGTTGCGATAAGTAAAGGGCACTCGTGGAAATTGTTCAAGTGGTACATGGGTTGGTGATCTATTAGATAAAAGTATTTGTCAATCTTGATTGAATTCTGGTTAGAGTTTGTCGTATTATTCACCTGCTCCTCACACTTGAAACAACTTCAGTTTTCACTCCTGTGCGCAAAAAAACAGGAAGAGGCTGGATGTGATTTTAGGCTAAATCCTTCTTAGAGTGAAGCCTCTTGCTGGTAAGAAGTAAGCCTTATTTGCTGACAAAGCTTTCTTGGTATTTATTGCGAGTTATGCACCACATAGATCATACACTCTTAGGTGCATGTATGCATCAAATCACCCCTAGCTGTTGTAGGTTATTGCAGTTGGACCATTTTTGCGTTTGGTTCTGTCAAGGCCCAACAAGGCGGTGGGAGGCGCGGAGCGGTACCCAGAGAATCCTGGACGCAGCGACGACGGCAAGATCGAGGGTCTCTGCGCGTAGATTAAATAGAGCTTACTCTAGCACATATGCATCTGTCATCATCCCTTTTTCCTTCCTACATACAACATCCCTTCCAGACGAAAAACATGCCCACTATTGTTCAACCACAGCCGTCTCGTGTTGGTGTAAACGCAGATAGCGTTGCAACCTCCGCATCAACCCTCCTGCAACACGTTTCATATCATGATTTTTTCCATAACAATATTCTGCGCACTTCTTTCGACTTTCAAGACTCCAGGCGCGGCATTGTCCCGCGACAAAGTGGTTTTTCGAACACGATAATACGTGCCTCCCAGCAAGACTTGCACTTGACTTTACGGCCGGACGAAGTATGGCTGGCTATCCTCGTGCAGATCAGTTTCTTCGTCAATGGCAAAGGGCGCGCCGAATCGCTTCGCGACAGGCTTGTGGAGCACCAAGACCGCAGACACCTCGTAATAGACGCTCGACCGGCAAGTCTAGCCACGGTCGATATCGGCAATGTCGTACATCAAATGATCGAACTCGTCAAAAGCAGCCTGCGAGACCCTAAGATGGCGACGAGACTGCTGCTCGAGTTCAGCACGACAACCGAGAATGACCGGGCGACCGCCGCCATGGCCTTCTTAGGTACCATGCAAAATTATTTCACCTACGAGTTTCGGGTTGGGTGCGGCTTCCCTTCGGTAACGCTGATGGGCGACCGAGAGGACTGGCTTAAGATTTCAGAGGGCCTGGACGTCCTATCATCGCTCGGTGATGAGGCCGTTCCATGGTCCGTCTGTTTGTCCAAAGTCCTTGAGTACATGGTGGCAAGCTTCGACCGACCGCGGGACGAAGATGTGAAGTCCTTCTGGATGCGCGCGGTCCACGAGTCTGGGAGAAACGGCTCTAGGGCAGTAGTCACCTTAACCGGATGGCTGACTGCTTTCTCGTGGTGGGACCCTTCTGGTGACCGCCAGAGGACCTTTGACAGCAAAAGCCTAACATCACGTCCACGATGGCTTACGTCGGAAGCCGTTGAACGCCCCACCATAGAATTAGGTGGGTCCGTTGAGACAAGGGCGGAAACCGTTGTTCACAGCAGGGTGGAAGCCGTTGAGATTTTCTATAGTAAAATAGGTAAAAGTAGCATGCAATTAAAGCCAGGATTCGAGCGATCATGAAAATGCAGTTTTCAGTGTCGTATTCAATGATGTGAGTCCAGAAATAGGGAAATAGGGTAGTAGATGTTTTTGTGATGTCGTCCCAATCCCCACATTAACCAGCCAATCACATAACA